AATACTTAAAAAATACACTCTTAAGATATATTGTAGTCTTTTTCTTGCAAATTTAATATCAAAGGTTACTCTGATTTGTGTGTGCATGTGTGCATGTGTTTGCGAAGGGCGTATATACGAAATTCCAATTATGCTTCCGAGTATATTGGTCTGAGTGCAATGTACGTCCAAAGTAATTAAGGCTTCATGATCATTTTGTGCCAAATTTGACGCAAGATAACGCATAACTTGTTTACTCGAAACGGTTTGAGATTAAAATATTACATGTGCAAAGTAGAGCTTAAAGCCTTCAACCAGCAAAGCAGCATAACCGGCTCAACCCTGCCTGCTAAAATTATTCAGATAAAGCGTTTCAGAAGGGGATTTGAGTCGTCATAAAAAGAAGGTTCAGTCATGATTAAGTCGGTCAAATCGCTTGACAGAGAGAAGCTCAAACCGTTATTACCGCAAACGAAGTAGGCTGTCTCGAAGCTGGCGTCAGAATAAAGGTGCCAACAAACTCAAACCACTCCAGACCTGCATAAGTCTTCCATCATCTTCGAGTGAGATCAACCCGACTGCCACTTTATTGCACACTTTTACACACGTTGAAACTCAGCGCTTAGGATTGGAATATATCAAGAAGTCAATGAAAACCTGTGGCTCCCTGTACATGTATTATGAGACTGAATTGCCTGCTTCGAGCATGGTTGAACTCTACCAAACGGGAATATAGACAGCAAAATGGAGTAAAAAGAAATCGCCAGCTGTCTTAAGCGATCAACGCCATATTTATTCTATCAACTAAGGAACTGATTTGGCAGAGGAGCTAGGATGGCTGTTTATGTTTGCCACCACATGCATGTGTGGAAAAAGCTGTCAAAAGGTATGTAAAGAAAACTCTCAGGTTTCAACCTCATCAACATTCATTCATAGCATCGTGTGAAGTTTGGAATTCATAGAACTTATGTGCTCTGAAGTATGCTTTAAACGACTGGTTTCCTGAATAGTCAATGGGAAACTGTTTGGTTGCGGAATAGTTGGAGTCGAGCTGCTTTGGAATAATAGAACAATAAGATTTCCCAAAAACGAGACTTGACAATTCCTTTAATAGTTTTGCGGCATGGGGTAGGTCATTTTGTGAAGAAAATAGAGTGGAATTGAGTCCTGCTTCTATCTCTGCAAAATTCGAAGTAAATTTGCATCGAGTGAAGTAATTCAGGCCACATCCTCATTCGAGTCTGGTGAATACATGCCAAGCCTTCTTGTGTCTGATCATGCCGACGAGACCAGATCAAGATGGCTTCACAAAAACCACAGCCAAACTGGATAGCTGGTTGTCATTCTAGCAACCTATTGCAAGCATTGTCTCGCTTGTAATAGGGTATCTGATGTATCGCTTATTCTATTTGTTGTCCTTTCGACATGCGTATCGATGAGGAGTGCTGATGAACAGATTGCCCAAGATGGGTTTCATATCAGAAATGGCCTCAACTCGAGCTTTCTTCATCGGTCATGCACTGTCAGGACCTGTAATCGCATGTTATTGTATGTATGTTGCTCACATACAATGATCATGTGTACTTTTGATCACTCAACTCTCAGCTAAACCCCGTATTTCTTATCCAACCTGTATCTTACTCTGGAAAGGCTAACATTTGTAGGCCGAATTTGAAAATTCCAGGCCTCAAAGGTAGTTTAGCCATTTTAATTTTGTAATATTAATTTCTTTTAAAAGAAGCAAGTACAATGATAATAATCTAATATCGAAAATGTGGTAAATCCCATAATTTTGAGTCACTTGAGTAAACACAAACCCTATTTAAGTGTTTTTTAGCAATAGTATAATGGATAAATTGTCATTTTTATTCTGATTGATTGTGGTTTTACTTGGTCGCCCTAGCTCTTGTACAACTCATGACGTACTAATGATTTCGATTATGCGTTGCGTGAAAATAAGTTGGGGCCAGCTTTTTATTTGACTCAAGGACAATATTGAGAAGATTTCATGGATCTTGATTAGGCACCAGCCAACTACCGTCATTTAATCTTTCCATTTAGATGCTGTTATAATACCTCATGAAGAAAATGATTATTAAGTCAAATCATGATCTGAAAAAAATTCCTCTAGCTTATGTCGTTTTGGCCAGTGATATCAGGAAACCGATCCTTTTCAGTCAGAGTCCTCAATCACTAGATTAACTTTGATCTAACGATGAATATGCGATGTTTCTGAGGGATATACTCGACCTCAAAGGTTCTGGCCTCGGAACTTCTTAAGTCAGCTTTCAAAGTTCCCAGAAATAATCAAGCACACTCAGGAAATTTAATAAATTCTTGTAAATTTCTACTAAGAAGTGGAAAAAACCACGTGATCTTAGATTTTACTCCATTTTCCACCTTTCTCTTATTATTTTGTATCTAATATACGTTTTATAAGGAATAATTATGGGATTCAGTGTTTTACTCTGGATAAAATTGAAACATTGTATTTATTCTCAAGTTCAAGCTTTATAAATATAATAAATAGTGATTGAGTAGCTTTAGAAACTAACGGAAGTTCTTGGATTAGATCTCGAGTCAGCTTAGAGTGCTAAGATTAAACAAAGTCATGTTGCTAGGTTTTCCAGAATGAAATGAGTAGAAGTCCTTATAATGCCAGTATATTCAGATAAGCCATATCCTAAAAAGACATGTTTCTCGTGGATGGACTATAATTTCTTCCTCGTCATCTCAAATGACGTTTAAACCCAGGTTGTGAGCATCAAGTTATAACGAATCGACTTTATCAAACAGCTTAGCAGTCATCAGAACATGGAACACAAGTCACTTTCAAGGCAAGCCAGGTTTGAACAGATTCATCTTTTTATGTTGGGATTAGTGTCTATAATGCTAGTACTTTCATTTCGTATGAAGGTGTATGAAGAAGAGATTCGTAGGTTGATTTCACAGAAGAGGACGGTTGAATAGTCTTGTACTATAGCTGTTTGGTTTTTATACGACGTTGAGCTTGATGTAGATCACGAGACCTCCTCCTTCATTTATGGTGAAAACAAGTTGAGCTTTCGTACATCATATGATGAACATCATCAGAGCTAGAACTCATTCTTCTAAAATTATCAAGTTAACACTCAGATTGAATCGTTCCCTTCTGGTGAGATGAGCCTACACTTTCATACGAAAGGAAAGTCCCAACAATAACGTTATTTCAGGATATTTATCGGAACCCAATTATTATTAATATCTATAGTGTATTTAACACAAACTTGCAATTGCCATCAGAATAAACTAAACTACTATGTATCGAATGATCAGGCTTAGCTATTCTTATTAGATCTCAAATAATAACCCTAGTCACCTTGGCTCGCCTAAAGTGATGAAATGACTGACACTTTGATTTTCACCAATAAATCCCATTTCTAGTACTAAATAGAGGATGGGCGGAGGTCGATATTGCAGTCGAGCTTGGATAGGAAATAATTTTGGCCGACAAGGCTGAATGCGCCAAGGTCTTTAACCCATTTTTCGTTTGCAAGTAGAGTTCAAAGACTGCTTTCAGATCGGATATATGAAATGTATTCATTCTACATGATTTTAGGTGGTGAAGGACAGGTAGCTGAATTTTCCCACAATCATATAGATAGACCTCATGTTTCGTTGAAATTCACATCCGTTATGTGATCGAGGAGCACTCGTGGCAGTGTAGTGTAGTGGATGACGCGTCGTGATTACACTATGCCCTGTTCCTTGCTTGATTTTCGTTGGGGGTGCTGATGAGACGGCGAGGCGAAGTCAAAACTGCAGCCCACTCCAGACAGGATGAGAATAGCTTTTGGAAAGCAGGGCCATTTGAAATGTAATGAAAAAATGAGGCCTGTCATATCATTGTGGGAAAATTCAACAACCAGTCCTTCATCA